TCATCTGATAAGAACTTGGACGATCATTCCTTGGTTACTAGCCAAGTGTTCTCTGTTAAGGACAAGTACATTTTCCTTCAACAAAATGTGATGCGATGGCAAATCCTTGCTGCGGTTACTGGGCCAAATATGGGAGAGAAAGACTAAGAGGTTCATAGAAATACAATGATATGGAAGCTAGAGAGTAATATCCCTCAAAAGTGATGCTTTAGAGATCTGAAAACCCAGGTCAGTTGTAATGGAAGAGGTTTTTAGTTTGTTTTGTTTTGTTTTGTTTTGTTTTTTGTAAATGGCAGAGACATTGAGCCCAAGTCCCAATCTTTTCTTTTCATTTTAAGTGTGTCATATTTTTCTTGGCATAGATTAATCAAACAGGAGGAACTTCACATTTGGCAACATGGGATAGAAATGGAAATGAACCCTAAAGCAAGAAAAATGGAAATAAAGCACAGTAAAGGATAAAATGTAAGACATAGATGCAAAGAAAGGGCAAAAGTTGAATCCTGAGAGGATAATGAACCAGACAATCCTAGTGAGATTAATGAGTAGAACAGAGACACCACAAAGCAATAATGTCAGCTTTAAAGGAGATAAAGTCACAAATCTGGGAGATACTGAAAAGAAAAACACTACCCACATGCCGGGGAGTAAGAATAATAGAACAGACACTTTTAAAAAGGGAATCTGACAAAGTTAGAAGAAAGCTTAAGTCACATATAGTGATAAGTGAAATATAAGCATGAGTTAATGTTTCTGAAATGCAAAAAAACAATTGTGCTGTGGGTTTGACATGGATTTAGGAATGTGCTGCAAAGGTTTCTGGATGGAAGTTTAGTTCCCAATGTGACAATGCCTCCTCCTCCTCCTCCTCCTCCTCCTCCTGCTTCTTCCTCTACTACGTCTTTCTCTTCCTCCTCTCCTCCTCCTTCTCGTCTTCCTTCTTTTCCTCCCCCTCCTCCCCCCTTTTTTTCTTCTTTTCTTCTTTGAGACAGAATTCTCCAATTATACTACCACTGGGCACCCCAACCTTTAACAAGTAGTTTTTAAAAATATGTGCGTTACAGAAAATTGAGAAAACACCAAAATTATAAAAGTGAAAAAAAAAAAAGACCCTTCTCTACAAATTTAAGCCTATTTCTTTTCTAACCATTTGGATGAAATTGCTTCTAAAATGTCTTTCATTGTTCTTGTTCTCTAAGAGTCCTTTTAATGTATTCAGACCTGTTGGCATGCTGTTTGTTATTTTGTGGACAGATGTTACTACATTGTGCTTTCAGATAGGAGAGCTGTTGGTGTCAGGACAGAAGAGAGGAGCAGGACTTTGGCCCCTTGTTGGATGTCTCTGGGCTATAAGTATTTGGGTTCATTTCTGGTTTGTGTCCTGGTAGATGCTTATGAAATCATCTCACGAGGGATCTGTGCCTTGGATCCCCCTTTAGCATCTGCCAAACATTTAATCAGTCATCATTCTTCTTCCTCAGATCTCTTTCTTATCTTTCCAGTCCTCTTCATCTACCCACTCTGGACTGGGTCCAGGCACCTTGCTGGCAAATCCTAAAAGTCTTTATTTAAGTGTCTGCTCCCTGGGGAGCCTTGTCTCAGCTCTGCATGCAGAACCCAGCCTTGACTTTGTGAGCCCTGAACCCTTCTCCAGGGAGCCTTGATCATACTACGTTATCATTGCTCATTTATTTCCTGTCTCCTGTGGAGATAAAACCCATACCTAAGCTGTCCATCTTGTCTCAGTGTCCAGCATGATGCAGCGTTATTACTTAATAGCAAGGATTATCCTGTAGGAAATGTCATCATAACCCATCTGCTGAGCTGTGGCTATGGTTTACTGTACAGTAGCTTTGCACACATAGCATAGTTCTGGTCCAGCATCATACTGTGCTGGGGTGGCACTGGCCCCTGAGATTGTGAGACCTGGGAGCTAAGGATTCTGCTTCACTCTTCTTAGTGTCCCCAAGGCTGCCATATAGTCACTGAACATCTAGTTTTGGGTGCTTGTGACCTTTCTGAGGATGGGAGGCAACTTAGAAAACAGACAAATAATATACAATTGCAGATTTTCAGATTTTCTCAGAATCTTCTTACCAACATTCAGGCAAGGAAACATTGTCCTCATTGGCAGCAAAATCCTAAGATGGAAATGCTATCCATAGAAAACCTTTAGGAGGGGCTGGGCTTGTGGCTCAGTTTGTAGGCTGTTTGCCTATCATGTACCAAGCTTTGGGGTTCATAAACCAAGGGTGGTGGCACATGCTTGTAATCACAGCATTAGGAAGGTAGAGGCAGGAGGATAAGGAGTTCATAGCCAACCTGAGCTACATAGTGAGCTCAGGGCCAGCCAAGGCTTCAAAAGCAAAACAAAATAAAATGGACCCCTTCTTTCAGGATACCTAGTAAAGTTGCATCCTGGAGAGAGAGGCCTGAGGGCTGGCTACCTACAGCAGGTACCTGGTGTTGAATGCCCATTGCTTTTTAGGAGTCTCTGGGCACAGGAACCTGAGATGGCTTCAAGCCCTTGAACTTTGTATAGTGACAACAAGTTTCCATAGCACAGCGTGTCCGGTTAAAAGGTCAATGGCATCACCCTCCAGGTCATTCACAGCAAGTGTCTTCCAGGCCCACATGCAACTCATGGCAGTGGCCTCTGTGCCCACACGTCATTCACAGACTCAGATGCTGAGTCATAAGTTGTGAATTTCTTGAAGAGGATCCAGAGGTAGCTTGGTTGGTGTCCCAGGGAGAAGGCATGGATTATCTGGGGCAGGTGAGAATGGGGCAAGAGGAGAGGTGGCCAGAACAGGGCAGCTGGAGTCAGCAGCAGACATGTCAGTCAGGCCCAGAGCTTGCAGGAAGGTGTGCTGGAGGAAAAGCCCTCTGAATGATTAATCATGTCCCAGACACGCCAGGGAAAGGGTAAAAGGAGGGGATATGGCTACTACACAAGGGCAAAGGCTGTGCAGCTGGCGTGACAGTGGATGTGGGCAGGCTCAAGGGAACATGGCAGAGACGTCTGAAGGTCCACATGAGCACCAGACACGTAAGTCGACCGGCTGCAATGTAGGGAAGCTGTCAGAGGTCAATGGATATCTCTCAGGCTGACACAAGTAGTTTCAAAGTCCTTGGGGATCAGAGGTCTTTGCTCAGATCTACCAAGTGAGCAAGACGAAACAGGTTTGGATGTGTCATCGTTGTCACTGAGGCATGGTGGATCAATTGTTTTGCTTACGATGTTGGCACTGGGTTTAGAGTAACTCACACCCTCAGCCTAGACTTAATTGCCCCTGGGATGGCTATTCTGTAAACTCAGAAGACGAGGTGGTGTCTCTAGCCAGGCAGCCCCATGAAAGGTCTCTTCCCAGCTCCAGGCTGTCCAAGACACATCAGGGTTCACTCCAGACTCAGTTTCCCTCGTGTGCTTGGTAATGAAATCACCTGACCTGATGCCTTTCTATAAGTGAATCCTATATGTATGTAAAAATGAGTTTCGCTGTTATGACAATTTAAATAATTTAGCTGCATCCTGAATTCAAGAAAAGCCTTTCTCCTGTAAGTTTTTTTTTGTCATGTATTTTATCACAGCAGTAGAAATGAAACCAGAGCACATATGAGCACAGAATGCAAATATTACAAAACAAAAGATTTTATATAAAATCTTGCCTTGTCTTCTCCATGGGTCACCATGTAAGTGACCATTCCTAATTTCTACATTACTTGTCTAATACTTTTTCTTCCCTTCATGCTGACACTTTAACAGAGAACCTATTGGTCTTTCTCCGGCCTTATTTAACTGCTAATTGGTGATGCCATGGCTTATGTAAGCATTTTTCATATTTGTAAACAAGAGTTATTTCTTTTTTTTGCCATCACCATAAGCAACACGATAAATACTTCTGAAATGTCTCTCTGTACAGAATTTTGTTTATCTCAGATAACAGCAGATGTGGGACTATGAAACCAGTCACATACATTTGTGGTCTTGACAGACATTACCAAAATGTGTCCCTAAAAGAATGTACCATTGACTATTCTTGCAAGACATGTATGGACTGGATCATCCGTACCCAATATTACCAACATTGTTTTATCAATCTGATAAGTAAAAATGTCATTTCAGTTTTAATTTGTATTTATTCAAAATGAAGATGGGCATTGTGTAACTGGGCCATTTTTGTGCTATCGTTTCTGTGATGAAATGCCTTAGAGGTTACTTTATGTGCATGGGTATTGGCTTCCATGTTTGTCTATGCACAAACTGTGTGCCTGGTGCCCATGGAGGCCAGAAGGAGGCATCGGAGAGTTCCAGGGACTGGCGTTAAGAAATGGTTGTGTGTGCAGGATCAAACTCGGGTTTTTACAATATCAGCCAGTGTTCTTAAGCTCTGAGCTACCACCCAAGTCCCTTTGTATTTTTTTTAATAGTGTCTCTTATAATAGACTAGAAATTTACCAGGTAAGCTAGGCTGGCCGGCTGGTGAGCTCCAAGGACCTGCTTGTCTCTACCTCTCTCCCCAGCTGAGATGGTAGGAGCTCAGCAACCCCGCCCCCACCTTGCCCCTCTTTGGCCTGGGGATTAAGCTCAGGGCTTCATGCTTATAAGCCAGCATCTTTACTGACTAAGCATCTCTCAGCCTAGTAGTTGTCCCTTAAAAAAGTATGTACTATAGTACTTTGGTAAGATACTAATGCTATTTTTAAGACCCATTAAAATTTTGAGAAAAGTTTTACTAAAGTAGAAAATTGTCATGACTGACTCAGTAATGTCAGGAATGTTCCCCACTGCACTTTTACAGAAAGTACGCACTTGTGGTCATCTACTGTAAAGATAGGCAGGCTTGGTGATTGCTCAACTTGAATTCTCATTCTTTTGTTTGGGGTCCTTTTCAAGTGTGATCCACATAGCAAACAACATATTTGGAATTCCATCACACTTATGATACTAAAAGGCTTCGTTCGTTCCAAGTACCTGATGTACAATTTGAGTCTTTTATTTCTTAAAAAAAAATACACTTTTTTCTCTTAAGTTTATTGTTTGTCAAATTAAAGAAAAATTTTGGTTGTCCTGGCCCACAGCTCCCTTGTGTTTTTTTAGTGTGATTTCACAATGGAGAAAGAAACCAAATAAAGAAACGTAAATATAAAAAAACAAATCCAGTAAAGCAATGGTCGTTTGCTGGCACCACTGAGAGCAGAGTGAGGTGAAGACCCTTGCTGGTAGGTAGAGTCTGACACATCAGTGCAACGAGCTGTGCAAGCTACAGCTCCCTACTGACGGGAGTTCACAGGCAAGTACGGTTGGGTTGTATGGGTTTGGGGAGCAGGGAAGAAGCTCCGCCTCTGGTCTTGGAGCTAGCAAAGCCAGTTCCAGCAGAAACCACACTCTTTAGCTTAGCTGAAGGTTTGCTTTCTTGACTTGGAGGTAAATTCTCTTTTCTTTCATTTTTCTTGGCCTGCAATAGGAAAGCAAATTAGATTGGTGAGAAAGAATCTCACCAATGAAGAGCTGGAAAGGAGTATCAAGTGGGTGATAAATAAATGAAGCAAAACTTAAGTGTAGGCTTTGTCCAAGGTCACTCTTGAGATGTCTTCTGAGTGATGATTTTCATGAAGAAAATACTAGAGTTTGGTGAATAATTCACAGGAGAGGGCGTTCCTAAGTTCTCTGCCTGGTGTTTCTCCTTTCTTCATAATAGAGAATGTAGTTGAGGACTAAATATAACTTTATACTGGCTAAATATAATCATACATTGATTAGTTTTCACATAGAATTTAAGAGATTATTTTTGCAGTGTTTTTTTTCCAACTATTTGATGTTTGAAAGCTGTGATTAGGACATTGCTCAGTTGGTAAGTTTTCTTAGTATCTTCTCTATGAATTTGTAAATACTGCTGATAGTCTTTGGAGGAGGGCTGCTTTCCTTCCTCAGCTGCTTCCAGCTCTGCCCTTTGCACATGTTCCTGTTTGTACTGAATCAGGTGTGGGCTGCCCTAGCTCCCAACTTTTCCCTCCATTTCCTCTCAGGGTCTCAGTTTCTGGGCCTTTCCCATCTGAGATGCAGATAACAGAATGCCATGAAATCACCCAGCGGGGCTATAGGCCTTCCACACACCAGGCAGGGGGACAAGCAAATCTTCTGAGCTCCCAGAGTCTCCATGCCCAACCACAAAGCATAGTGACGATGACATCAATAGTGGTGGCAGCATGAACAGCTGAAGCAGTAGAGTGTCAGCAGCACCATGGGCAACAATAGTAGTAACAGAAGCAACAGTAAATGTGTTGATATCGGTGCCAACACTGATGATAACACCAGCAGCAATAGTAAAAACAACAGAAGGAGGAGTTGCAACAATAAAAGTAACAGCAACAGCTACAGTAACAGCAGCAACAACAGTAACTGTAGCAACAGGAACAGTAATAGCAGCAACAGGTACAGTAGCAACATCAACAGTAGCAACAGAAATAGCAGCAACAGCCACAGTAAGAGCAGAAACAGTTACTGTTATTATAGCAACAGTAACAGCAACAGTAATTGCAGCAAACACCATGGTAATAGCTACAATAGCAGCTGTAATAGCAGCAACAACAGCAACAGTTACAACAGTAGCAACAACAGTAACTGTAACAACAGGAACAGTGACAACAGCAAGAGCAACAATAAAAGCAGCAACAGCAACAACAGTAACAGTAACAATAATAGCAGAAACAACAGTTGTATCAGAAGCAGTGAAGCATCAACAGCAACAGTAAGAGCTACAACAGAAAAAGCTACAGCAACAATTTTAGCAGCAACTTCAACAGTGTGAACAGCAGCAACAACAGTAAGTGCCACAACAGCAACAGCAACAGTGACAGTAGCAACAGGAACAGCAGCAGCAGCAACCGTGGTAATTGCAGCAACAGCAACAGTAACAGCAGCAACAACAGTAACTGCAACAGCAGCACAATAAGAGCAACAATAGTAACAGTGACAGCAGCAACAGTAAGAGCAGCAACAACAGTAAATAGCAGCAACAGCAGCAGTGACCCCAGCAAAAGTGACAGTAAGAGCAGCAACAATAGTGACAGCATCAATGACAGCAGAAGAAACAACAGTAACAGCAACAACAGTAACAGTACCTGCAGCAACAATAGAAACTGTAGCAACAGCAACAGTAACAGTAGCAGAAGTTACAGCAGCATCAGCAATAGTAACAGCAACAAAAGCATCTGCAGCAACAACAGTAACTGCATCAATAGTAACAGCAATAGCAACAACAGGAACAGCAGAAAGAGCAACAGCATCAACAACAGTAACTGAAACAACCATCATAATAACAGACACAACAGCAACTGGCAACAACAGCACCAATAGCAACATTAACAGCAGCAACAACAGTAACTACACCAACAGTAACAGCAGCCACAGCAATGATGACAACAGCATCAACAGTAACTGCAGCAACCGCCACAGCAACTGTAATAGTAACAATAGTAATGGCAGCAACAATGACAATAGCAACAGTGACAATTGCAGCGACAACAGAAACTACAGTAACAGCAGCAACAAGAGTAACTTCAGCAACAGCAACTATAACAGGAACAATAGTAACTGCAGCAACAGCAACAGTAGCAGCAAAAGCAGCAACAGCAGCACCAAAAGCAGCACTAGCAGTGATAACATCAACAGTATTGGCAACAGTCTCAGCAGAAACAGCATGTTTTGCAGCAATGGCAACAAGACCAGTAACTGTTTCATCAGCCCCAGAAATAACAACAGCAGCAGCAGCAACAACAGTGACTTGGTTATAACAGGAGCAGAAGCAACAACAGTGATAACAACAGCAGCTGTGATGATAACATCAATGACAGCAGCAGCAGCAATAGTGGTAATAAGAGCACCAGCTGTACATCTACGCAATGGAATACTACTCAGCAATGAAAAACAAGGAAATCATGAAATTTGCAGGTAAATGGTGGGAACTGGAAAGGATCATCCTGAGTGAGCTGTCCCAGAAGCAGAAAGACACACATGGTATATACTCACTCATATGGACATATAACATAGGATAAACCTACTAAAATCTGTACACCTAAAGACACTAATCTAGAGGGAGGACTCTGGCTAAAATCCTCAATCCCCATCCTGAAAGGCAAAGAGGATGGACATCAGAAGAAGAAGAAGAAGAAAACAGGAAACAAGTTAGGAGCCTCCCACAGAGGGCCTCTGAAAGGCTCTGCCCTGCAGACTATCAAAGCAGATGTTGAGACTTATGGCCAAACTTTGGGCAGAGCGCAGGGAATCTTATGAAAGAAGGGGGAGATAGAAAGACCTGGAGGGGACAGGAGCTCCACAAGGAGAGCAACAGAAACAAAATATCTGGGCACAGGGGTCTTTTCTGAGACTGATACTCCAACCAAGGACCTTTCATGGAGATAACCTGGAACCCCTGCACAGATGGAGCCCATGGCAGTTCAGTATCCAAGTGGGTTCCATTGTAATAGGAACAGGGACTATCTCTGACATAAACTGATTAGCCTGCTCTTTGATCACCTCCCCCTGAGGGGGAGCAGCCTTACCAGGCCATAGAAGATGACAATGCAGCCACTCCTGATGAGACCTAACAGGCTAGGATCAGAAGGAAAATAAGACCTCCCCTACCAGTGGACTTGGGGAGGGGCATGCGTGGAGAAGGGGGAGGAAGGGAGGGGTTGGGAGGGGAGAAGAGAGGGAACTAGAGGGGGGATACAAAGTAAATAAAGTGTAATCAAAAATAAAATAAAATAAAAATGAAAAAAAAAGAGCACCAGCTGAATTAGCAACAGCAGCAGCAGTAACAATAATGGCAGCAACAGCATTATCGCCAATAACAGTAGCCACAGAAGAAGTAGCTGCTTTGGTATCAGTATCAATAATATCTGCAGCATCAACAGGAGCACCAATAGCAGATCAAGAGCAATAGCTGCATTAAAATGAGTCACAGTCACATTAACAGCATCCGTAGTAGCAGCAGCAACAACAGTAGCAGCAGCAAGAGCAAACTGCATTCGTACCAGCGACAACGTCCATCATCATCAACAGCAGCCAGCAACCACCATAACATCAGCAACAGCAGGACCAACAGCATCAGAAACAGCACAACAGTAGTTGCGGCAGCAGTGACATACGTCAGTTACAATAGCAACAGCAGCAATCAATCGTAATGGCGGCAGCTTCAGCAGTCACAACCGCAACAGTTGCAGTAGTGACAGCAGCAGCGGTATCGTCAATTACAGCGGCAACAATAACAGAGGCATTAATGCCAGCAACAACAATGGCAGCAACAATGGTATCAACAACAGCAGCATTAGCAACAGCAGCTGTGTCAACAGCCATGGGGGCCCCCAGCAAAACCAGCACTAACAGCAGCAATGACAAGTAGCACGATGTGAGAAACAGCCCCAGCAACATCAGCCTCCACAACAGAGGCAGCAAGAACAGCAGCAGGCGGGCTGAATGACAGACACTGCCTGAATGCCTTAACTGCATGCAAGTGTAGCTGCCGTGTCCTAGGTGTGAGCAACCTTCTCATAAGGGAGCCTATGGCCCTGGAACCTGGCCGGATAGCGACAAAGCTGTCTATCTCTGTGCCTGCGTTCTTTTCAGGTGTCGATGGGTTTAATGGTAAAGACCCATTTCGTAGGGCTGTTAGGAGCATTTGATGAGGGAGTGCATTGGAAAGCACTAGTTGAGGGACCTAGAAAAAAAATTTGCCCCATCTCCTCCTGCCCCATTTACGGAAAAGGAGGCAGGTTTAGGAGATGAAATGAAGTGCAGATGGTCAGACAGGCTGTGTTTGTAACTAGGTAGACTTAGAATCCTTGCTGGCAAAAAAGGGGCTCCGTCACAGCACTGTCCTCTATGTCTGAGACACACAGCAGAGCTGTGTTCACAGCACCAACTTCGTGGCCTGCCCTCCTGCTTGCGGACACTCTGCCCTTGCCCCTCTACGCAGGGAACACCGCGCTTAGAAAGGTGCCTTCACCTGGGGTTGGGCTTTAGCGCAGGCTCTTCAAATGCAAATAATCACAAGAACTAGACAGTAAGAGAAGTGGTCCTGGCCCAGGGCAATAGGAACGGTGGACTGTGGTGGCTTTAAAGAGTAGAGCTACCATCCAGCAGCTCCCACATATTACCAACAAGAGGAAATGCCTGTTCTAGGTTCCCATATCTGGTTTTGTTACAGATCCTGGAAGTTCAGCTTATGTGCCATTTCTCACTTCAGAAGAGATCATGTGGTCAGAAAAAGAACTCAGTGTCCCATGTTGGTGGTTGATCCAGTGCAATGTTAATTGTTAATTATTGACCCCCTTCAAGATCTGGCTACCCCCAGATGAGCACATTCTCACATACACCAAGTGATGCTGTGTAACTTTGCCTTCCAAATTATCCCTTCCTGCCTGCAGCCTGGACTAGACAGAAGAGAGGTAGGCAGAGCCAAGATTCATGGTCTTTTTTTTGGGGGGGGGTCACAGAAGGATCACGGAAGAGAGAGGTGCAGGAGAGAAAGGAGGGGGGAAAAGGAGCATGTCGCCATGGGTCAGCATGAACCAGAAGCATGTGGCTGAGAGTAGCTTGCTCTGAGGACTGGCCGGATGGAGCAGAAGTAGCCCAGTTGGAATATGTGCAAGTAATTATGGGGGTTTTGCCTGGGGGGCAAATAAGAGAGCTTATGGGGTTAACACCTGCTCAGTCCTAGTGTTCTAAGGCATATTAAAAATCCAGCAGGTTTCTGTGTCTTTTATTTATGTAATAGAGGGTTAAGGAATAACTGCCGATAAATTAACATGTTTATTAATAATAATATTAATAATCATATGAATCAATATAAATTATTCATAATCTTTCTACAGTCCCATGACTGCCTGTGTGTGACAATCGGCCCAGCTGAGGCCTGTGTTCTCAAGTGTGGTTCAAGGATACTGGGTTTCAGCGGCATGCCACCTGAGTATCAGGTGTGTTCCACACTGAACAGATAGAAGCTTTCTGTCTTTATCAAGCTGACGACGCTTGCTTTTATGCCCAAAGAAATCCCTTTGCATAAGCTTCTCTTCAGCATGTCTGAGCTGTCAGCCTCACTGCTCTTGTACTGGGTCATGGTCAAGTGAAAAGAAGGTTGTGTGAACATGAGCACAGTGACCCCTTGGCAGTCCAACAGGGAACTGAGGTGTCCGCAAAGAGCCTGCCTACAAGGGTGGGTAGCTTATACAGTGTGGACACACCAGGCGAAGGAAAGAGATAAATATGCACCTTTTTATCATGGCACACAGAGAGCGAGCAACATAAAATCATATGCAGATATGAATTTCTCCTTCTTGAAATTTCCATTGAATATTTTCAAACTGCAATGGAAGCTAAGGGAGCACAGGTTATTGAAAGAATGGAAATAAAAACCACAGATAAGGAAAACTACTTGAATAGAGCTACTCTTATTTTATTTTCAATATTGTTTTATAGTTGCATGTCTATGTATTTATGCTATATTTACCCAAATGGAAGATAAACACTTTTCTATGCTTTGTTTTCTTTCCAATAACAATGCATTTTGAGAACTTTTCTTATCAGTGGATATAGAGCTGTTTCATGCTTTTTAGTGGCTGTACTGTGCTGTGCTGTATGGCATGTAATAATTTATTCAGCTGGATTGTCAACTGAAGGGCATTTATGTTACTTCTAACCTCTTGTCACATTGAAAGATCCTTTAATGGTTAGTCCTCCCCACACATTTCTCACATGTCAATTTCAAGAGGAGGCGACTGGGTAAAAAGACACGATCATCGTGTCTCTATGGTTGGGCTGACCACCATGAAGGGTTCAGCGCGTCATCCGCAGCCATGTGGGGGCTGCTGGGTCCAGCACATTCTTCTCCAGTACAGCGTGTTCCAGGGGTAGTCTCATCTCTGATGACCCGGAGGAATGCTGGTGCTGGGTCAGTCCACATTTTTCTGGTTATGAGGGATGTGGGACTAACTTTCATGGACGTGTGAGCTAGTTGCCTTTGCTTTCTGCTGAGTCAGCGCTCCCAGCTCCTTCCCGTCCCCTGCTCTTGGGCAGACATTCTCACGGTCTGTTTTTGGTTTTTCAAGACAGGGTTCCTCCATATAGCCCTGGCTTGTTCCAGAACTCACTCTGTAGACCAGTTTGGCCTAGAACTCACAGAGATCCCCTTGCCTGCCTCTGTCTGCTGAGTGCTGGGCTAAAGGCATGTGCTGCCACCACCTGGCCCTCAGGGTTTTGCTCAGGAAGCCAGCCCTTTATATACTACTAAACTCTCTTTTTGGGTTTACCAGTGACGACAATGGTTCAGTTCAGTTTTGGGTTTTTGAGAATGCAGACAGACTATTCTTTCTCCTATAGGCTCCTGGAATTTTTTTTTTTTTTTGTATTTTTATTTTTTCTCACATTTAGAGAGACCTTCCCTATTATGAAGGTATGAATTATTACCAATCCTTCTATGGCATTTTCACTAATTTCTTGTCTCTTTTTTGATGTTTAATGCTCTGATGTAGTTTGCCTTGATCCCATGATATGACATATGGATTCAGCCTACTCTTTCTGCCCAGTTGGATCCAGAAGTGTCTCTAAACGTCTGTGGAGTTCATTCAGGGAGCCCAAGGTCTTACCTGTGCATGTTCTCGGTGTCCTCAATGGTCTCAGGCAGAGCTTTCCCTTTGGTCTCGGGTAGCAGCAGCACAAGTGCTCCGGCAACAAGACCAACCACACCTGAGACACATAGCAGAGCCACATCAAGCTCCAGAAAGGCAAGGCGGCCTCTATAATCAGGGCTCCCCTTGTTTCCCTTTCTCTTTTGAGGGCAATGTTTTCCCATTCTTATTTATAGACTCCTTTGCCACCTTTCAACACCCTATTTTCCGTCATAAATAATGTACCCAATGCCAAACACTACAACTCCTTTTAGGGGAATGAAATACTTAACATTTTGAGTCAAAGTTATTCTAGGCTATGGGACATTGCCACAGTGTTAAGAAAATTCAGAGTTAAAAAATAACTCTGAAAAAAAAAAAAAAAAAAACAACCCTAACCATGTGAAGAACATAGCTCTGCCAATATAAAGTATTTAGCATTGGGAGCAAGTCAGAAGCTTGGACCATTGCTAGCAAACAGGGCTGGGAAGAAATCTCAGTGGGGTCGAGGCACTTTGCTGAGCTTGATGATGGGAGTTCAATCCCCAGGACCCACCCACATGGTTGGAGGAGAGACCTCTACATTGCTGCACGGCATGTGTGCGAACGCACACGCACTCACGCATACCACGAATGAATAGAATGAAGTCCTTTTAATAAAAGGCAGTGCATTTGGTGTTACTGTGTATGTAATACCATCACAAAGCATCATGAAGCCATTCAGTTCAAGTACAGATGCTCAGAGCCATGAGGATGGCAGCACTCAGCTGTAACTTGGGAGACTAAGGTGGGAGAATTGTGAATTCAAGGGTAGTATGACTTATATAATGAGGCTCTGTCTCTGTGCCATTTAATTTTAAAAAGTTAAACATTTTCTTTTATGTATGCGATTGTTTTGCCTGCATGGGTCTCTGTGTACCATGTGGTACAGCGTTGCTGAGCCCAGAAGAAGGCATTGGATCCTCTGGATAGTTGTTAGTTGCTATGTTGCAAGGGCATCCAGTGACCCTAACCACTAAACAGTCACTCAGCCCCTTGGTTAGTTTTTATTATAAACTTGGCGTAACCTAGAGTCACTTGGGAAGCAGGAATCTCATTTGAGTAATTGCCCAGATCAGATTGGCCTGTGGCCACCTCTGCAAGAGATTTTCTTGATTGGTGATTGATGTAGGAGGCCCCAGTCCACTGTGAGCAGCACCATTCCTAAGCAGGTGGGCCTGAGAAAGCCAGAGAGTGAGTCAGGAAGCAGGGCTCCTCTATGGTTCCTGTCTCTGAGTTCCTGCCTTGAATTCCCTCAGTGATGGACTGTGACCTGGAAGTGTAAGCCAAATAAGCCTTTTCCTCTTCTAAGCTGCTTTTGGTCAGAGGGGTTTTGTTGTCGTTTTTTTTAAATTTTATTGCAAGTAACAGAAAGGAATCTAGAACAGTCTTAAAAGCTGTTAGTGGTAGAGAGCTTGCTTAGCATGTGTGAGGCCCTAGATTCAAACCCCAGTGCAGAAAAGTAATGCAGGCCGAACTCAGGGGTGGAACGGCCACTTAGTTTCTCTTGTTCTCTTTTAGTCTCTAGTTTTCAGTAACAACCACATTAATATTTTTTGCTTTTTTATTAATATTGGAGATACATAACTTTAAGAGGCGTGCTTTGGTTTTGTTTCTCTGTAACAAATGGGAAATGGGGTGCCAGTTCTTCATTAGTTTGGGGTTTCAAAGAACTTCATGCTGGACTTCATAAAACAGCAGAAATGGACCCACGGGACATTGAGCTCAAGCACTACCTCAGTACGGAGTACCTGGGTCCGATTCTGACTTTTGGCTGCTTGGTCTGAGGACCTGGGGAGTCCTGAGATTGTTCCAACTTTCTGCTCTTTGTCACATGACATAATCTACCTCATAGGCTTGTTCTGAGGTGAAGAAATGCTTGTCAAGTCCTTAGGATAAGTCCCCACTCAGGCTATGAACTATAGACACGGCTGAGAATAATTAACTTTTCTGAACCTCCCAGGATGATCTGTACTGTAATGAGTAGCAAATGCAAGCAGGACCCAGCTACTTCAGCTGACTCAGAGGCTCTTCCCCTTACAGGCTTACACCACGTAGCCGTGTCATCTTGACATAGCCTAGAATCAAGCAAGAGACCCTCAGTGAGCCTCTGACACCCTTGTCTTCATCGGGTTGGCCTGTGGGCGTGTCTATGGGGAGTTGTCTTATCTGATGTGGGAAGACCCCGCCCACTGTTGGTGGTCTCATTCCCTAAGCAGGGGGTTCTCAGTTGAATAGGAGTTGAAAATTCATGTGAGCATAAGCAAGCAAGCAAGCAAGCGATCGTGCTTGCACTAATCTCTGCTCCTGACTGTGGATGTGATGCCACTAGCTGCTTGAAGTTACCATTTTGACTCTCAAACAGTGTGGATTATGACCTGGAATTGTATGCTAGGACAAACCCCTTTCTTCCCCATATTGCATTTTTGTCAGGGTGTCTTGTCACAGCAACAGAAATGAAACTGGGCAGGAGCCCAGATCCTCCTGCACCTAATTCCTCAAGTGCTGGGTTCGCAGAAGTGACCTACCATGTCTCTCTAGCTCTGAGCGTCTGAAGAGGGGAAGGTCCAGCGAATGGCAGAACACACAAGCTTAGCATTTTATACACGGCAGGATCAGCCCTGCTAAACCAGGATATTGTTACCCACTTTTCCTGTGCTCGGCATCTGCTTTCTCCTGCTGTTGTAGATGGCTCTGGGCATGTGCCCATGCTAAACAAATGCTGTGCCACCGTCCTCCAGTGCACTCTTAGCCAGTATTTTTAGGCTTCTCAGATTAAACAGCTCATTTCAGAGGGGGGTGGGAGGGAGAAGTTAGGTTAAAGTGGGCAAAGGAAGATGACAAAACCCTCTCAGAAGTGACCTTGGGACTGTCTTTGACTTTGCTATCATCTTTGAAATACAGCTCTGGCTTTTGTGTCCTCCAGGGGAAGGTGAGATTGGGCAAGGGACCACACCACTTCATACATGCCTCAACTCCTCTTAGACCTGCTAAAAAGTGGTGGTTACAGAAACTGGAGCCCCTATTTGCTGCCAGAAATGTCCTGCTAAGCCCTCAGCTGACACCGCCTACCAAGGATCAGGAGCCTCTAACTCCTACCTGGAGAGAAGGGGTTGGGTATGATAGGTACTTTCTGAGGAAGCAGGGGGGCTCTGGAACAGACTCCTCAGCCGATACTTGGGAGTCAGAGATCGGAGGCACGTGCCTCCAGTCAGCAGGCCGCATAACTGTGATTATCTCAGGGTAAAGCGCCCGTGTGCTATCTACACTGGCCATCTTGCTTGTGTGATGGAACGTGGTGAATTCTCCGGGTCTGTTTTGATGGAGAGTTGTAGCAACAGCTTGAAATTTTCCTTGGCAGGTCTTCAGGCATGGAAAACTTCCCTCTCACAAAACCCTCGAGAACAAGGCAACAGAAGGAAGAAGCCAGCACAAGTGGAGGGGGCAGTGTGTAGCTCCACGAGAGCAGTGGTGCGTGCCTTTGGCAGGGAGTCCAGGGGAAAGGTCGGTGTGGTGAGTCCTGGGAAAGGGGTAGCTTTAATTAAGTCTAAAAGGCTCTCTGAGTGGATCTGAAAGTAGACTGACATGGTGCACCAAGGCTCCACAGTTACCCTGAGCAGGTACATGTGAGCTTGGGTCCGTATCTAGCCATCCCTGTGGTTGCGTGTAGGCTGGAGAGGGAGTTGTGTTCGGGGAAACGTCTTTTCTTCTCATCTTGCCTTTAATTTTGTGCTTCTAAAGCATTAGTCTCATAGCCTAGTGTTAGTACTGACTTGGGAGCATTAAAATAATACTGACAGTATTGCTGATCACTAGCAATTAAGCCTCTGGGGATCTCTCACCAAATACCACCAGCGGGAACTCCAGCCAGATGTCGGTGAGACGGTAGACCAGGAAAGGTGTGATGATGCCGCCAATGTCACACATGGAGGAGCAGACGAGGACGCCGAGATTCCTGAGTCACAGAGAACCAGTTTAAGTCTTTGACTTCTTACAGCAGTTACATGCCTATATAATCACTTTCCCCAAACTGCTAAATGTCTGAGACCCAGTGATTCTGTGCAGAAATGAGGTGCGGACATGATCTTGTCTGTGGTCTGTTGTTTTGTTTTGTTTTTGTTGTTTGTTTGCTATAAGCCTTGAGGCTGGACGGAGAGTGATGCTCACTTTTCTTTCCATCACATGACTACCCATGCCATGTCTGTGGTTTCCATAGAGCCATTCAGCTGCTCTGGTCACTCTCTACATTGTGGTCTAGCTCCTGAGTCTTGTGGCTTCTAGGCAATGTTCAGTCTGTAAGCCCGAGTGTGGGCTGTCGGCTACTGTCTTTGAACACCCACCTAGCTCCTCACTGTGCTTTGAGAAGTAAGGCTCTCTAGTGCAAAGCCAAGTATTTGCCCTCACCTGATGTACGTGGGGTAGAGCTCAGTGTTGACCAGGCAGACCATCTCATAGGCCATGGTGATGCCCATTCTGCCCAAGCACGCGATGGTAATTTTCAGCCAGTGTAGATCTGCGGGGGGGGGGGGGGGGG